TCGGCTATTTTTGCAGTTTTTGCCCCCTGCAGGCAAAACCGTTGACGTTAGGTCAAATCTGAGAAAATTACTCAGAAAGGGCGCTAATAGGGCTATCGAATGCGCTTTTCCGCGGCGCTGTAGCTCTATTGGTTCCCGAGTTATGCGTTGGCTTCTTGGATATTGTCTACATTCGACCTGGAAATCGGCGAAATTTTGCCTTCAATGACCTCTGGTGACCTGACCTTTGACCTGACCAAAAAATTGACCGAAGTGATTTCCTCATTATTTTTGACGCTCTTTCGAACGCTGCCTTCCGCGTATCGCTACGTGGCCCAGGAGCCGAGTTAGAAGGGGGGGGGTGTTCAAACACCCCCCCCCCCCCAGCAGGGCGTGGAAATCCAGGACCCCCAGCCGGGCGCGGGATAATATTCTTCTCTTTAACTTCACTTTTGATAACAAAAAAAAGAACTTTAATATTACTTGCACAGGAGTCAATATAATGGCAAAATTATACATACTTTTGAGCTGCCACATTTACCTTGTTTATCAACGTAGCTCAAATGACCAACCGACAGTCGATTTGCAAAGCATATTTACGAACCGACTAATTATAAACGAACAAAATAATTGGTAGTTTCAGGAAGGCAAAAGGTGGTGTAATGTGACTAGGTATTTCATCAGCGAATCATCATTTTCAACGCTGGATGCAATAAAAGCCATAAACAACGGAGTGCACTTCTATAACAGTTGCAATAACAGACGGCAAAGCACCAAGACAGGAACGAGATCACGGCCACACAAACACACTTTTTACTTGGAACGCACTCCGTTGTTTATGGCAGCTCAAAAGTATGTATAATTTTGCCATTATATTGACTCCTGTGCAAGTAATATTAAAGTTCTTTTTTTTTGTTATCAAAAGTGAAGTTAAAGAGAAGAATATTATATGCCGAAACCCAGATAACCTCTTTTTGGAAGTAACTGGTCCTCGCAGATGTGTCTTATATTGCTTAATAACCCGATTCTGTAAATCAGAGTTTGTAGTGCGATTTTCAAAAAATAAAATAAAATATTTGTAGAAAGATTACCATTTTTGTTTTTCCCAGTCGAAAGGAAATTGACGGAACTTTATTTCTGAGCAAAAATAATGGCAAATTTTAATGTACTAGGGGGGTAGCCAGAAAGTTTAAAAATTGATGACGTCACAGCTAAAAATCAAAATCATTTTTTTGAAAATCCGAGATGGCCAATTAATTGCCCATTTCACCACGATCACAACGATGCAAAGGTTTAATGCATTTCCTTCATTCCTTTAGGAGATATAGCACTTCAAAAATCACTCTGCAGAGTGACCTCGTCAAAATGCCCGGGGCTATATCTCCTAAACCGCTGACCGTAGGGGTCTGGCGTTGTCACCATTGACTTCAGGGCATAAGAGAACCCTGTAGACAAGATTTCATCAAAATAAAAAATGGTCGGGTGTAAATCTGATAAAATTTTGGTCGATCTATCGTGGAATGCCCCGAAAGTTATAATGTTCCTTTCACTCTCCAAGAACTCAACAATGCCATAAGTGCCTCCGGGAACACCTCAGTCGGCCCGGACAAATTACATTACGCCTTCTTTCGCAATCTTTCAGAGCGTTCGAGACTTTTGGTTCTCAAAACGTTCAATTCACTTTTTGCCAATCATTTATTTCCTGAAGAATGGAAGACAAGTACAGTAGCAGCGTTATTAAAACCAGGGAAAGCGACACACAATCCTACCAGTTACCGACCTATAGCCATGACAAGCTGCTTAGGAAAACTTTTGGAGCGCATTGTTTCTAAGCGTCTCTCGTTCATTCTCGAGCAGCAGGACATGCTTTCAAGATTTCAATGTGGCTTCCGAAACAATCATAGTACAGTAGATCAATTAATTCGACTTGAAAGCGATATTCGACTAGGTTACAAAAAGAAACAACACACTACAGCAATATTCCTAGACATTAAAAGTGCATACGATATGGTCTACAAGCCAGCCTTGATTTGGAAACTCAAGAAACTTGGAATTAAAGGAAATCTGGGCTATTACGTACTCAATTTCCTCAATGGTTCCAGACGTTTTCGAGTTAGGCGTCGTTCGATTTTTTCCGACTTCTTTGAAACTGAAAACGGTCTTCCGCAGGGCAGCTGTCTTTCTCCTCTGCTTTTTAACATTATGATTGATGACTTATTCCATGATATTCCTTCTGGAGTTAAGTTTTCTTTATTTGCGGATGATAGTGCCATATGGTGCACTACACCCGATTATGACGTAGGCATTCAAAGATTACAAGCTGCACTCGAAAATCTTGAAAGATGGTCTGATAGATACGGATTAGAACTTTCTCCAGAGAAATCTGCATTGATGATCTTTTCGAAGCATGTTTCTCTTCGACCTTCACGCCTTCCAACTTTGAAAAACAAAGATATTCCACTGGTACCTCACTTTAATTTCTTAGGAGTCGTCCTTGACCCACGGTTGAATATGCACAAACACATAAAACACATACGAACAAAGTGCCAAAGAAGACTTAATTTATTCCGGTGTCTGCTTAGTACACCAGCTGGCGCAGATCGACTTACTTTATTGCGTCTTTACAAAGCACTTGTTCTTCCAGTGATAGAATATGGTTGTGCGATGTACGCTGGCGGTAGCCATGCAGCTCTGCAAAAGCTAGAGGTTGTGCAAAATAATTTTCTTAGGCTGGCATTAGGCGCCCTTAAAACCTCTCCAATACATTCTCTTCAAGTAGAAGCAAACATACTTCCCTTACACATTAGACGAATCGACCTTACCTTACGATATTATGCGAAGATTCAACAGTTTCCGGAGCATGCAGCATTCGCAGCTTTAGATGTGCTCCCTCGACTACATTTTAATTATCTCGGACGATGCGAAAAACGAACAGGCCTTACGATAGCATCTAGAGTTCGAAAATATGAAGAAGAATTGGGTTACAACATGCCTGCTGTTCTTCCACTAGCTCGTCTTGGGTTCGCACCATGGTTATTCCATCATCTCGCTATTTCTTTGCTTTTCACAACATCCAAAAAGTCTCTCTCGCCTGAAGAGGTCCAACAAACGTTTTTGAAATATCAGACAGAAAATACAACATATCGTTTCATATACACAGATGGGTCGAAAGCTAACGACCTCACCGGTATAAGCATTTTCTCTCCAGATTTCATTAGGATGCGGAAGAGGCTCATCAATAACACGTCAATATATTTTGCTGAATTATATGCAATCTTAGTCGCAACTCCAGCTGATCAAACAATATCGTGTCCAGAGAGCTTGCATTTGTTCCGACTCGAAGTCCGCTATTCAAAGCCTTCAGAATTTGAACACCTCACAACATACACACATAAGTATAGCCCAAATTCACCAGCACCTTTCGGAGATAGGTACCAAAGTACAGTTTTTATGGATACCTGGTCATGCTGGCATAATGGGAAACACCATGGCTGATCACTATGCCAAGAAAGCCTTGGAACTTCCACACATTTCTCAAGCACACTTCGATATTGATTCTATTCGCACTTCCATCAAATCTCGCTGCAATCATCTTTGGCAACTCAATTGGAATACCAACGGACCAGGCTCACATCTTTATCGAATCAAACCAAAGATCGGATGCTGGTCATCTTCTACTAGACATTCCAGAAAAGAAGAAAAGGCGCTAGCTAGACTTCGCATCGGCCATACTTACCATACTCACTCATTCATTTTTGACCGTCGGCCTCGGCCCACCTGTCCCCGTTGCAGAGTGCCACTTAGTATTGAGCATATCCTCTTGCACTGCCACAAATATGATAATGAAAGAAACGTTCTGCATCAATATTGCAGGCAGAATGCACTGCAACTTACGGTACCGGTTTTATTAGGAAATGATTATGAAGACCTCCTACATCTCTTATTTTCATACTTACCGCAACAAATCTCATAAATCGTTTATAACATTCACATACTACAACACAACACACTAGACTTCACAATATATTAACCATGCTACGTATATAAGTATATCATTGATCAACACAAACGGTGCGCAATGGTCCGCAAGGTCCGAAGCACCTATTCAACAAAAGAGAAGAAAAGAAAGTGCCAATGACTCGACACCCGCGGGGACAATATCCGGTGCTGTTACTGTAGACTGTGGGTACAGTGCATATTTACGAGTAATAGGGCAGGCAAGTCTGCTTACCCTCTAGCTAGAATCTGGACATGGCGAGGTAATACACATATACCACCCGCAGAGCAACGCTTAATTCCCCAGCTTCGGGTGAAATTGTTTTCAGTGCGAGGCGCCGGCCAGATGGGGTTTAGTCGAAGTACCGCACGTCGACGTTACTGCCGTCGGGCGGTTTGCTAAGCCGTCCAAGTACAGCCCCTGAAAGGAGACCATGTCTGGTTACACACAACGCCGGATAGTGACGTCATAGACAGTCAGTTCAGACTGATGACTTGACGTCACCTTGAGAGACGGTCACTGCCAATGAGCCGTTAGTAACGTCATAAACAGCTAATGCATAATGGTGTGACGTCAATCACATAAACCATGGTACCATGCTGGCTGATTAGGTAAATGATAAACAAATCAGTACAAATACATTTAAAGTATATTGAACCGCTCGTCAGCGACGTCACAAAGAGCTAGCCCATGCTGATGGTGTGACGTCACTTTTAGAGATGCACTGACAATATACCTACTGATATGTCTCCCGACTGATGTCTGATAAGGCATCGTGCCATATGTGACATGTGTGACATCATACTAGCGCTGGTGACGTCTAGTAATAGTGACGTCTAATGCCAGTAATGTCTAGTGATAATGACGTATAGTGCTAGTGAAGTCCAGTGCTAGTGAAGTCCAGTGCTAGTGAAGTCCAGTGCTAGTAACGTTTAGTGCTAGTAATATCTCGTGCTGGTGCGTGTCCGAGAGGCCGGTGGCGCCGTGTCGTCTGGTGTGGGTGGTCAAAGACGCCGTCACTTACTGGGGACATCGAGATAGATGGTACGGCCCAGGCCTGTCTTCAGCAGGGCGGTCAGGACGGCCTGGCAGTTTACTGCTGAGGAGGTTAGGTACAGGCTGCACAGTTTGCTGCAGGTCCCTGCCATCCTGTAACAGAACAGAACAGAACAGGTCAGCCTGCGAGACACAGTGACACACAGTGGCACCAGCGGTCAGCTCAACACTTCATGGCACGTTGACACTGCCAGTAGCCAAATGCGACCATAGGAATCATTTGTGGATCCACATCGTACGACCCACACAGGGGAACGGAGATATGAATACCGCTAGATGAAATGTCCAGACTGGGGTAGTGCGACTCGCAAATAGTGATCTGTCTGTCTGTCTGTCTGCCTGTCTGCCTGTCTGCCTGTCTACCTGCTGCCTGCCTGCCTGCCTGCCTGCCTGCCTGTCTGCCTGTCTGCCTGCCTGTCTGCCTGCCTGTCTGCCTGCCTGTCTGCCTGCCTGTCTGCCTGTCTGTCTGTCTGCCTGTCTGTCTGTCTGTCTGTCTGTCTGTCTGCCTGTCTGTCTGTCTGTCTGTCTGTCTGTCTGTCTGTCATGTCTCTGCCATCGCTCTCTGTGAGGCCGCCGAGCTCTGCACCGACCTCCGACTGGACGAGGTCCGCCGGGCGGACGACCGAGACGAGGAGGCGCAGCTGCTCCTACAGACAGTAACGGACGGTTTTCCGTCACAGAAGACCGATCTGCCGCCGCTCCTGCGACCCTACTGGCCCGTCCACAGCCGACTTGCTGTTGATGACGGGCTGGTGAGTGCGGCTGCCGGCTGGTTATTCCCCGGCGGATGCGAGCCGCAGTGCTGGCCGAGCTGCACGCCAGCCACCAGGGAAAAGAAAAAACAAAGAGCCGCGCTCGTCAGATCGTATTCTGGCCGGGCCTCAACAACGACATTGACAATGTCACGAGGAGCTGCCAGGCGTGCCAGCGCGAGCTGCCCTCCCAGCCGCAGGAGACATACAGACCGCGTGAGGCACCGAGCCGGCCGTTCCAGCACCCCTGCACGGACTTTTTCGAGCACGCCGGCCGCCACTACCTGCTCGCCGTCGACCCGCTGTCGGGGTGGCAGTTCGTGCGCCCCCTCGGCTCGACCGCCACAGCTGCCCAGCTGATTCGCGAGATGCGGGGCATATTCTGCATCTGCGGCGTGCCCGAGGTGCTGTGGTCGGACGGCGGGCTGCAGTACACCTCGCGCGCCTTCGCTACATTTCTTCGAGAGTGGGGAGTGCAGCACCGCACCTCGTCGCCGCACTACCCGCAGTCGAACGGGCGCGCGGAGGCCGGTACGCGGCCAAACTGATTCGCCGCGTCTGGAACCAGCGGACCGCCTCAGTGGACCAAGACGCCTGGGTGCGCGGTACCCTCCAGTACCGAAACACACCGGGACCGGACGGCCGGTCACCAGCCCAGATCGTGTTCGGTCACCCGGTGCGCGACATGATTCCGGCCCATCGGCGCTCGTTCGCGCCCTGTTGGCAGCGCGCCGCCGACGAGGCCGACGCCGTCGCCGCCGAACTACGAGAAGACGCACGAGAGCGCTACGACCGGCGCGCCACCGACCTGGGCGACCTGCGAGTCGGCAGTCAGGTGGCCGTCCAGGACCCGGCCAGCAAACGATGGGACCGGCACGGCGTCATCGCAGCGGTGGGCCCGCACCGCCGCTACTACGTGCGCCTGCCGAGCGGCCGCGTGTTCACGCGAAACCGACGGTTCCTGCGCCGGCGCTACGGCCACGCGGCGCCGGACAGCCCGCCTCCGTCGCGCGCCGCGGGCTCACAGGGCGGCGAACCGCCCGCCGCGCCGCCGCCGCCGCCGCCGCCGGCCCCGTCTCCGGCGCCCCCGCGCCGCTCGGAGCGCAGCCGGCGCCGACCCTCTCGGCTCATTGAGACGTGTCGGCTCACTCGCACCGGCAGAGGGGTGGGGGAGTGAGGAGAGAAGGAGAGAGCCGTGATTCGCGCGTGTGTGCGCACCGAGCTGAACCGCGACCAAGTGAGTCGTGGTCGGCGTGCGTGTTGTGTTGCGTGTTTTTAAAAGAGCCCTCAGTGTCTGGCTTTATTTGTATGTGCCCACACTGCCCAGATGTTCGGCCACCGTGAGAGCGTTTCTCGTCATTGAATCGGATTGTTTGTTTGTTTGTTTTGTTGGGTTAGGCCCTTTCGGTCGACAAGACCATTGCAGAGCCGGAAGGATGATAGGAATTAGGGGGAGACATTGGTCTGGGCAGGCACCCTAGTGAGTCGCCGAGGCTGAACCCGTCCAGAGGACAGGCCACCCAGCCCCAAGGCACTCACTGCACCCGGCTACGGGGTGCGCTCCCTCAGGAGCAGCGGTGCCGCTCCAAGGGAGCAGCCCGCATGAGATAAAGTTGCCTGTCCAGCCCGGACAAGGGTGTAACTTTGTATACTTTCGAGGTCCCATGTGGGACCCCAATGCGAACATTTGGGACCCCAATTGTCATTTAGGGACCCCAATAGTGGAGGCCCCCAAGACGCACCAGCCACTACAAATGGAGGTGCGATGTTCATATAGAAGGTTCTCTGTATAAATAGGAGGCCCCTTAGATAAATAGGAGGCCCTGTTGGACATATGGGAGGCCCCCTGGTTAAATATGAGGCCCCCTGAACAAGTAGGAGGCCCCCTGAACAAGTAGGAGGCCCCCCGGAAAACAGGAGGCCCCCTGGAGAAATAGGAGGCTCTCTGGACAAGCAGGAGGCCTCCTGGACAAATAAGAGGCCCCTAGACAAATCGGAGGCCCTCTGTACAAATAAGAAGCTCTCTGAACAAATAGGAGGCCCCATGGACAAGTCAGAGGCCCTCTGTACAAATAGGAGGCCCCCTGCAAAAATAGGAGGCCCCCTGGACAAATAGGAGACCCTAGACCTAGACAAACAGGAGGCCCCTTTCACAAAAGGAGCCCTGGACAAATAGAAGGCCCCTTTCACAAAAGGAGGCCCCCTGGACAATTAGGAGGCCCCCTGGACAAATAGGAGGCCCCCTGGACGAATAGAAGGCCCCTGGATAAATAGGAGGCCCCCTGAACAAGAAGGAGGCCCCCTGGATAAAGAGGAGGCCCCCTAAAAACAGGAGCCCTCTGGATAATAGGAGGCCGCTTGGAGAATAGGAGGCTTCTTTAACCAAAAGGAGGCCCCCTGGACAAATAGGAGGCCCCCTGAACAAGTAGGAGGCCCGTTGGACAAATAAGAGACCTCTTAGACAAATAGGAGGCCCCCTAGAAAAATAGCAGGCCCCTTGAACAAATAGGAGGCCCCCTGGACAAATAGGAGGCCCCCTGTACAAATAGGGGACCTCTTGAACAAAAAGGAGGTCCCATGGACAAGTAGGAGCTAGAGGCCCTCTGTACGAATAAGAGGAGCCCTGGACAAATAGAAGGCTCCCTAAACAAAAAGGAGGCCCTTCAAAAAAGGAGGCCCCTGGACAAGTAGGAGACCCCTGCACAAATATGAGACCCCTGTTCGAATAAAAGACCCCTGGATAAATAGGAGGCCCCTGGACAAATAGGAGGCCCCTGAACACGTAGGAGGCCCCCTGGATAAAGAGAAAGCCCCTGGAAAATAGAAGCCCCTGGATAAATGGGGACCTTCTGGAGAAACAGGAGACCTCCTGGACAAATAGGAGGCCCCCTAGACGAATAGGAGGCCCCCTGGACAAATAGAAGGCTCGCTAAACAAAAAGGAGGCTCAAAAAAGGAGGCCCCTGGACAAGTAGGAGACCCCTGCACAAATATGAGACCCCTGGTCGAATAAAAGACCTCTGGATAAATAGGAGGCCCCCTAGACAAATAGGAGGCCCTCTGTAACAGTAGGAGGTTCTCTGTACGTACAAATAGGAGAACGGCGCTCGACATGTAGAAGCTCAGCTGTATGTACAAAAAGGAGGCTCTCTGTGCAAGTAGTCGAAGTAGGAGGCTCTCTGTACTGTACCTACAAATAAAAGGCTCCCTGGGCAACTTAGATGCTACACAAATCTGAGGTCACCTATATAAAGCGGGACTCTGTTGGAGTACCTGTTTGAATAAATTATTGTCCTGATATTCAAATTATTTAATCCTCGCCCGCACATGGGGGGGGGGCAGTGGTTGTCACTCCCCCCCCCTCCCCAAGGTAGTTTTTCTGCTCTGCGCTCAACATTTTGATTGCTAGAAGCCGGATGTTTCGTATAGCTGCTTCTCTATCCTTTCTTAGCGTCCACTGAAAATTTCAAGTTTCTATGGTTTTTTGGTTTCGGAGATACTGATATGACCTTATTCTTCAGGTGATGTCATAGCCCAAATGACAAATACCCAATACCTATCTTGCGTTGGCTATGGGTCTTGTGAGCTTTTGACACTTTGATTTCGGCCTTTTTGCCAGTCTTACCTCCCACCTATCATGGAACATGTTGTTCGATGATGTAGAGATGCCAGGGTCAGGGTCAAGGTCAACCTAGGTCGTCTAAAATATTGCGTTTTAGGCAAGTTGAATTTACTTTCGTGAAGTTTCATTGACTGTATTTTTGGTAAAACCTTCTCAGTTCATGATCTCATGTAATATGGACACATTCACAATCGGTGCAAACATCAGTATACACACAGACACGCACAGACATACAAACACATATCATTGACCTTGACCTAACTTGACCTGAAATGACCACAGCCAGCAAAAACCTAGTCGGATAGTGTGACAAAGAGGTTCTAGCTGGCTTGGCACCACAATACGGCAGCGTCATCGGTATATGATGAGCAGCACACGTGATATTCCAACGGGCAACGGTGAGCCCAAACAGCAACATTCTTTAGTTTGACCTGACCTGGAAGGTCAATGACTGACCTGATGAGATAAAATTTGGTATCATTGGATTCGTCTCTTCCCAAAGAATCTGTTGCTCTTGACCGCGAAGCTTAAAATCTTGTAAGAAAAAATTGTGGTGATGTAGAATAAAATACCTACACAAGCAGCGGACCAACCCATCATATACCGATGACGCTGCCGTATTAGTGCCAAGCCAGCTAGAACAGCTCTTTGTCACACTATCCGACTAATTTGCTGGCTGTGGTCATTTCATGTCAAGTTAGGTCAAGGTCAATGATATGT